CATATTATTCCCGGGCAAGTTCACCCAATGTGACTTTGGCTGTTGTGTGACTATGATGTAAGGGCAGTTGTTAAACGGCTTGAAACACTCAAGGAGTGATACATCAACCTGTTGTATTATTTTAGATTTGTTTGGCCAGACATCACAAGGGCTGGGATGCAGGGAGTCGGTAATGCAACGCTTGCCATTTATCAAACGACAGGGTTACCGTGGCTGCCTATCGCTAGGTGCAGTTTTGTGAACAAACAAATAAAAACAGTTGTAATAAATACAGCATGAAGTCTAAACCAACACACAACCCATCAGGGTGTCACAGGCACCGGTGCTGATAAGGAAAGTACAACAAAAAATATATTTTAAATTACTCCAGGATCATTAGACACATCAAAACATAAGGTTATCGCTGACTATATGAGAGTGATCTTATTTATATTTGCATATGCATTTGAGCAAAGTGTACGAGAACATTTTGTAGTGTTAAATAAATACGATTAAGTTATATATATATATATATAGACAGGCGATATAACACAAATACTAATGAGATCATGTATACAGGGGAAAGTATTGCAGACAACAGTGAATGGAGTAATGCATAAAAAACAGCAAAAGATACGCTCTTGAGAAAACACTTGAGAATAGTCAAAGGTTTGTGGGATCCTTTTAACAGAATTACACATTTGCATTCATTTCAGGAAGTAGTTTTGTGTCTTTTTCCCTTGACATAAAGATGTGGACAAGCAATCACAGAGAGTTTTACGAAAGAAAACATTGCCAATGGGCAAATACTCATCCAGAAGTTTTAGGTAAAACAGAAATCCCCAAACTCGCGCTGGCCTACATTAAATTATATTTAGCCCTGGTGAAATGAGAACAGCATCACGGCGCTGACGTCAACGTCAGGTTTCCTTTCTAACTCTCTCTGCTTCAGTTGTTAGTTTAGCCCAATGAAACCTAAAGGGAGTTGAGACAAAAACAAATTAGTCGTGTTTTCGCACAGAGAAAAAGCCTGCAGCTCTTGCAGAGGGGCCTTTTGCTGTCTCTTTGTTATGCTTATTTCTCTACCAGTTTAAAGCGGCTAATTTACCAAAAATATACTAATTAAAACAATTTTCAACAACAATCTGGGAAGATGAAGCCATATCGGGTGTCATTTGAAGTACATGAATGCAGTCGTATGAAGCACAGTTGGCCATGTTTATGGTAATTTCCCTTGGATTAGCCAGTAAGCAACAGGTGTCTGGTTGCTATGGCAACCGCTGGCACTTACCAGCCCATAAGCACGGCTAACTGTGTTTCTCACAGCATCCGCGAACTTGGCTACGAGCAGCGCGCTTTATTCGTTTGAATGGATGAAGCATGCTATCTGAATGCTTTAGCTTTATAAACCACTTTATTTGCTTCTAGGGGCCGATTGAGGCCCAAATTAGGCCTTGTCCACTGTCCAAATCGACTGGATACTACTGAACATTTGATTTTAAGGATAAACACAGGCAGGTACAAACCCCTAAACCATTCAATGCGTAATTATCTCCATTAGCTCTTGGCATAGCTTGAGCAAGTAAAGCAATATATTTCCAATTTTGCATTACGTAGCTTGTCCTTCATGCTGGACGATGGAAATAAGCACATCTTGAATAATATTAGAGTTCATAAAATAAAAAAGTAGGGGGATAAATGGTTGCTCTTTTTTTAACAGGACATGTACTTATGTGTACTTAACTAAAAAAGTAGTGGGTGATATAAGGTAACTACACGGGTTCAGGTTAGGTTCAGGATTAGTAGGCTACATACTTATTACCCAGTTATTGCAATTACTATAATAAGTACATAGTATGTACTACCGGAAAGAAAAAAAAAAAAAACATATATAAATATAAAAATGTACAAAAGACAGAAACACCCCCAAACAGCAGTTACAGACCTGTGGAGAGGCATGCAATGCAAAACATTGAATTGATCGGATCAAAACACCCCATATATGAATTGCATAACAGAATTGCATAACAATATAAATAAATAAAGAAATTCACAAATCATTCAGAAAACCCATACGAATAGGTGTGTAAACAAATTAGCAATAAATAGCAAACAAGACTTTGAACATCTCCAGGCCAGACGGCAAACTAGTATTGTTTCAGAGACTTAAAATGACTCCCAACCTGCAAAATCAACGCACTTTAACGTTTCCCCACGGCTCAAGGAGTTCCATTAAATACCATGATTAAACTAATCAACAGACTCATTGGTGCCTGTCAGATATCATCGCTGCCTTCTCAATTAGCCAAACCTCCTTGAACTCAATTGCAAATGTTGTCAATTGCATGCCATCTCCCTCCCAGGTCCTCTCTGCTGCAGTGACACCCCCCTAAAATGAGATAAGTGAAATAATCAGTGGGGAAATTAAACACCGTAGCATCCCCTGACGGCCCCTCCCAAAGCCCATCATGCCGATTAAGAGGCATCATTTGCGATTTGTGGATTTGGAAGAATGCGATTGATGTTTTTGTCTTACTTTTGTGCCACCAAACCGGTAATGCAGCCCTCGCTGTTCAAAACATCCTTCGGTTCAAAGCGCACATTAGCTCGGAAGCCAAAAACAATATCAGCTAATGGTACGAGGAACGGGCAAGCGTTAAAATGGAGATAATTTTGGTGATGGGGCTGGAAACATTCAGTACCATATTGCACAGGTTTGGAATGCATCCTAAACATGCCACAGCAACAGCTGCAGGTTTTTCCCACCGCCAACCGTAGAAGAAAGACACCCCTGGCATTTGACCTTGCCATGCAAGATATCCTTGACGCAGATGGATGCAAATGATTTTTCCTTGCTGATGAGCGTGAACCCAGGAGACTGATCCTGAAGACTTCAATTATGTTTTTCCGATTCAATGCACAACATTTTATTTATGTCTGTTAATCCAGATTTTCTCGATCAAAAATGACAGAAAACAAGTAACAAAAAATCCAAAACATTTCATGAAATAAGTTTAAATGGTTAGGCATGAAGAAAAAAAAAAATGCACAGTCACCTGACAATCAGCCCTTGCACATTATTAATTACATTAACATCCCTCAGCAGCACATCGGTGTGTAACAGTATGTCAAGGTCAGTCCTTTCATAATAGCCCCTTTGTGGCTTTACAATGCTGCGACTCACCCTCTTCAGCTTTTAAAGACAAGTTGTCAGGTTACCCAAATTATTCAAGCCCCTCATCCTCAGATGCAACCTTCATTTTCCGCAGCTATAAAAAGATCCACATCATGCTCAAAGTGGAATAGGACCCTTGAGCCTAGTGAGGCACTGGGTACAAAGCAGACCTCTTTATCATTGAGTAGAGGGCCAGGTCAGCTTGCCTCCTCGCTTCCTCTCAACACTTGACACAGCAATTTAAAATCCACCGGCAGATACAGCTGTACCAATATCTTAGTCCGTCGTGGTATAGAGGGCAAACAGGGAAGTTCTTTTAAATCACCTTTAAAGATCAAGGTAGCATCGGAAAAAAATCCATCGATCCAAGAGCTTCTAAACAACTAGCAATCTCCAAAACGAGTTTGAGATCGTTCGATGCAAACCCTCATTTTGAAATCTTCTGCTTGCATATATGCGTTGCTTTACCACTTGGGTCATGCAAGAATGCTATAATTTCACCTGTTCGTAATAATAGCTTGCCTCTATTATTAGCATAAGGCAGAATAGCTCTTATCGATTTCTTGTTCTTTCCCACACCCTAAGAGTAGTTTACCCTATTTAGTTCAGTATTGTGTGCTCTGCTCCCCTGCTTGAAGAATAAGGGGTTTGTGAGCAGAACCGATACATAGGTTCACCAAGTATCGGCTTGGTGCATTGATCTGAGCTATTGAGTTAACTTCCGTCAACTTACAATGAGCCTGCGATTGTTGGTTGCCTGGCGAAAGCTGTTATCAAGCTCGTTTTAATTTCCAACAAAGATCTATACGAACCGGACATCATATTTATTGATGACATAAACATATTTTGGTCAATATAGTGCAATAAGTGCAAAGCAATCAAAACAATGAAAACGATAAGGGAAAGAGAATTGCGAATGCTTGTATAAAAATAGGTGTTACATTAAAATATCAGTATTACACAACATAATTATTACTTCAATTATTATTTATGAATTTTGATATAACATATTAAAAATACATATTAAGAATGAATGCACATATTCATTTTTAATATATAATATTTCTTCTAATGTTAGCTGGGAAGACCCTATGGCCTTCCATCTTCCAAAAAAGTGCAGACAGCATACAAAGACACTTTTCCTTTGAAATCGTTAAATGATGCAAAGTCTCTCTTTGACATGGGGTGTGCCACTGCTCAAAAAAAGCCACTTGTACAATGCAAGCTACAGTAAGTGATCGGAAACTACAAACAAAATGTTCGTACAGAGAATCATGGGACATGACACACATAATATTGATGAGCATTGAAATTTTTTTGAAAGTACATGGCAAAGAGTATACCAATAAATACAGTACTTACTTACAGACTAAAGCAGAGGAACTGTCCTGCTCGATTGGATGCGCTGCTGTATAGTGTTTCTGTCAGAAAGTGTTTTTTTTTTCCTCTCTTTCTTTTGATCCTGTATGTAAAAGCCCTCCCTGACCCGGTTAAATTCACAATAGTTGTATGATTATATTCCTGAAAATGTATTTGGGTGAGATTAACCTGTACACTTAGATTTATGCGTATTCAATCATCGACTTAAAAAAATAGATTTTGCATCTCCAGTTTTATATCACAACTCGTGCTTTCATCCAAGTTCAGCGAGCACTATTTATTTATTTTCATTCTTAGTTATTTCTGTAATGCCATGTGGTTCTGAAATTAAAGTAACATAGTTCGGCACACCCCACTGAAGGTTTTGGATTTTTTTTCTTTGAGTTGTTGTATATTGTGCCAAGGCACCCTCCAGTTTGAGCCAGTAAAAGGGGAAAAATGCGTCTACTGCATTTACAGATAGACGAAGGTTTAAAACTGGCTCTGTGTTGTCTGTTTCTCAAGAACTTCGAGGTAGTCCGGCTCTATTTGAAGTTTTGCCTTTAGTTCCAAATAGTCATTTCTATTGGGCTCCACAAAGACAGTACTTGGCGCTGTACCATAAAGCATAGTCTCTCGTATTCCTTCAGGATGTAAGAACTGGCGCCTCACGTCGAAGTTTGGTTGGTATGTGTACGGGACAGGGCCAGTGTACTTATATTCAAACCTGCTGCCAGCAGTCGATGGAGATTTATCCGGCTCCAGAATCCCCCTAAAGAAGTGTTCGGCATCCTGAACAGGAGACGGCTGCTCACGAGGCTCGATGGTGCTCACCGTGTAATTGGGGCTCCTCAAGGTGACCTCCTGATCCTCATCAGCATTACTCCTGTAGGTGACCTTGAGTTCATGCAGGTCGGGGTAATCCTCCACGGCGTTCCCTTCCCGGGACCTGTAGATTGGGTTTTTGCACATGTGACCTAATGGATGGGGGATGTACTCATAGACATGACCCACTGGGGCCTTGACCTTGGGGACAGAGCGATTGCTATAGAGATTGTACTGCAGGTTGAAGGAGCTCACGTCTGAGTTGTTTGTGCTGGTACGGTCGCTCTGAGACTTTTTACGCCTCTTCATCACCACCACAAACAGGCCGGCTGCCACAAACACGGACATTATGAAAACAAGGAGGAGGCTGAGAATCAGAACAGACAAAGGGACATTACTGGAAGTGGTGTTGAACCTCCGGGGCGTCTCGGTGGTGGTGATCCGGTCTGCTGAAGGCTCCTCGGAAGGAACCACGGTGGACACGATGACGTCAGAGTAATCTGGACATAACTGCTCAGAAGGGACAACCCGCATATCCTGCCCCGCAACCCGCTTGGGTGTCACGCATTTGACGTCGTTCACCACCGTTCCAGTGTTCAGCTGCTCCAACCAGATCTTCATGCCAACCGCATCGCAGGTGCAATCCCAAGGGTTCTCGAACAGGTCAATCTGAACCAATGCTTTTAGCTGGTCCAGAACTCCACTCACAGGCAGGTTTTGAAATTGGTTGCTGCGAAGGTTGAGGCGGGATAGAGACAGACTAGAGAAGATGCCTCCTGGCAACGTTTTTAAAAGATTGTTATTGAGGAAAAGTAGCTGAAGGTTGGGCACAAAGCGGAAGGTACCACCCACAATCTCTCGAATCTTATTATATTCTAAATACAAGTACTGCAGACTCTTTAGCCCAAAGAACATATCTGCCGTGAGTCTGTCAATCAAATTGCCATTTAAGTACAGCCTACGTAGGTTAATTAAATCCCCAAAGGCTCTGTCGTGTATTAGTGCTATCCGATTGTTTCCCAGGTGCAATAAATCCAGTCCCTCAGCCTCCACGAAGTCAGATCTACGTACGACGGGAATGTAGTTCCCCGTGAGGTACATCTTTTTAGGATTGTATGGCTTGGGCTTAAGATCTGATATGTTTTCGATCTTCCTTTCCTGGCAGTTGACATTGAGCCCCAGGTCAGAGATTTGCAGATTGCATGTACAGGTGGTGGGGCAGTCCAAAGGCACGGGAGATTTGGTCTGAAAAGCAATGATGGGCCCGTAGTTGTAGGGGTTGGCTGGGATTCGAGATGTGGGCTTGGACTTGGTTTTGCTGGATTGGCGGGTGCCCTTGGTCGGCCTAGATGAGGATCGCAGGACGGCCGAAGACGTGGCTGATGCTGTCACAGCTGCCGGTGTGGTCTGGAAATAGCTGCTGGTGCTGAGCGGGGGAGGTGGGCGCATCTCGTACTCTGATATGGCCCTTCGGGGACACAGTTCCTGCTTTGAGACCTCGTCCAGATCCCTGCCATGGAGCCTGAAAGGAGTCTCACAAACCACCTCCCCCACCAGAGCAGTGTAGGCGATGCTCTCCAGCCAAGCCTTAAGCGCAATGAGCTCGCAAGAGCAATTCCACAGATTTTCCTCAAGCTGTAATTCCACTACTTTGTCCATATGCTCCAAAAGGCCGATGTAAGGGAACATTTTTAAGCGATTTCCCCTCAGATCCAGGTGCGTCAAGGGCACATTTCGGAAAATGTTCGTGGGCAGAGAGGACAACAAATTGTCATTGAGAATCAGAACAGTTAGTTGATGAAGCCTACTCAGAGCATTAGGTTCAATAGTGCTAATAAAATTATAGTCAATCTGCAGGTATTCTAGGCTCTCGAGTCCGGCGAAAGTGTCGTCCCGAAGAATGTCTATTTTGTTATTGTTCAAATGTAACCTCTTTAATCCCTGGAGTCCATTGAACGCCCCAGTCTCCACCTCAGATATGTCATTATTACCTAAATGCAAAATGGTAGCTCCAGTGTAGTTGATGAAGTCATTGACAGACAATCTTTTTAGCAAATTACCTGTCAGTAAAAGATGGTACATAGAAAATTGCACCGGGCTTATTTCCGACAGTCGCACAATGCCCCTGTTCTCACAACTGACCGTCAGAATGCCTTCCTTCTCCTCACAAGTGCACAGATCCCTACAGATCTCCCCATAATTGTCATACATCTCAACCAGACTCAGGGATGTGGCAACCAGCAATATTATTTTCAGTATCCAGATATGCATTTTCTTGTGCAGGAATGGCCCAGCTCACGGTAGTGCAGTTGTAGTTTTGGGTGTCATCTAGAAAAGGAAAAGATGTGATGAATGTCTGTTACATGAACATGCAATATCTACATCTGCAAACTACAATACATGGTGGACAATCACAAGATGCTACAAGAATATTTCAAAAACAAATGACAGGATCCTTCCAATTTATGTAAAGCAAACTGTTCCTACTTAATTTGAAAGCAGATGCTGATATGAATAACCAATGTGCACTGTTCTTTAGCCTAAACTTTGAAATGGAAATGGATTTATATTAAATGGTTTTAATATAATTTTAGGCTATCTGTGTTTAATAATATCAGAATAGTCTCACACCAAACTCTATCAACGATATATAAATATATATATCAAATGCATCGATTTATTCAATACACTACATCATGTATATTATGTAATGTTCATGATATTTCAAACACAACCACATTATTTTCATCACGACACTCAGGCACATTTATGAAGACATACTGAAGAGGAGAGAACGAAGAGGGAAAAAAGAGAAAACGTTATCGATCCTTAGAAATGCAAAGTAACATCGACTGGCACAAATACTATCCAATGCGCAATTTGGGAATGCATTTCGAACATACTATCCGGCGGCATCTCAACTCAAAGAGGCAAAACGTAAAGCCAGTTGCTCATGTACTGAACAAATCGACATCTCCATGGTTTCCAACTTGAAAATCTGCCGTTGAACGAGACAGATGAGCAAATCTACATATCATATCACTCTGCAAATCGCTTTAAATATCACGCAAGTATTTTTTTTTTGTCTCAAAAGAGAGACCATTTTAAAAAACATATGCAAAAAAAATATATGTATACAGATATTCCTGTACTCACCCCACATATCCGACGACTTCAGTTTTTATCAACTCTCAACCAGTATCGAAGTTAAACGTCGGAGTGCACGACACATCTATGCTTCACAAAGGTGCCTATGTTGAATTTCTCCCTTTGATGCTATATGTGACAGTCATAGCTCGTCCCTCAGGCGACAAAGACGCGAGTTGATTAAAATCAAAACGCGACGTCATCGATTATAGCCCGATTCCATCTTGATGGGGAGCAAACAATACTATATTAAACCATTTTATTGTGTAGAAGCATTTGTATTCATGCTAATCAACCTCTCTCTCTCACTCCCTCTCTCGTTCTCCCCCCTCTCTCCCACATAAACACACACTTGGACGCACAAAGAGACGCACACACACACACATACAGCACATCAGTCTATTGCGCTATAGAACGATCCAAAAGTCTATATTAGCTACGTTAATTATCTAGTGTTTCAATAAAAAAAAAAAAAAAAGAAACAATAATTAAGTAAACTACAATATAACTGAGCCGATCCATTACAAAACAGCTCATTCATCGCGCACCCAAGCCGGGCTTTTCCAAAGCAACGCGCAATGCTTCGTAATTGAGGCTCTTAAATCGAACGCCCAATTTGTGAAGCACATATGAAGTTGTGTAACGCATACATAACTGAATATTTCAAAAGACAAAACAAGTGTTCAAGAGGCGGTTTTCAATGGCAGCGAGATAACAGCGTTTCAGCACCACGGACAGTTCCAGCCGCAAGAAAACGGGGCTTCGTATGAGATTGCTCGCTTTGCTTTGGAAGACAATCCATGTTGCTTACCCGCTTAAACGTGGTAAATTCGAAAACATAATTAGCATGGCCAATCTATAACCTTGAAGACACTGGTCCCTCTTCACCCCGACTGTATAATAATCCGTGAAGTGGTTCGTGATCAGCCTGGGTATAACAAACTCTCGCTGGAAACGTGACGGTCAGCAGGCTGTAAAGAGGAAAAACGCAAGTTTAGGAATTTCTCTTGATGTGCATTGCCATTCCCTGGCACAATCCAACCAGTGCAGTGTCCATTTTAAACGGAATGTATCCACAAGCAAGGCAGTCTATCCTTTTTTCTCAGAAACGGACGCGCAAAGTACGCATCCCCGAGACGCTTGTGAGTGGTACGGCTGGTATCGCGTTGTATATTGCCGGATGTACATGTGATTTCTTCGCTGATCTCTGGTTCCTCCAATGCTGTGTTGTCTGTTTTCATATTTTTTTGTTTTATTTTTGTTTTGGCAAGAGGTTCCCATAAATCCGCCTTTGGAGATGTGTTGCCATCTTAACTAGAGTTTCAACTAGTGGAACTTGGATTTCCATTGGCTCACTGTTGCTGTACTGTCGTCAGATCAATTGTAAATTTGGGGCAGGGTGGAATATTTATGAGAGGACTTAAAATAAGAGCTTCGTGCACAATATGTTGCTCGCACACTGCCCTCTCTCTAGCTTATTTTACGCAACAGAACAATTGAAGGGTAATGGCGATGGTAAGACAATCGGAGAGAGAAAGACAAGGAAGAAAAAAGGCACAGTGTGTGTGAGAGAGAGAGAGAGAGAGAGAGAGAGAGAGAGAGAGAGAGAGAGAGAGAGAGAGAGAGAGAGAGAGAGAGAGAGAGAGAGAGAGAGAGAGAGACCCATAGAGGGCAGTGTAATTTCGGTAAAAGAAGCTTTTGGCATCTGTATGCAGTACGACACATTTAACTTGTTATATCCTATAGCTCAGTTCCATTTTGCATAATGGGCACAAAGTATATGCCAATCAAAATTGCAGCTAATTTACTTTGCACAAAATAGAGGTCTGATAATGCATAAGACTGGCAATGCAAACTTTTTTGATGTGTGTTTTCATTTACACAAGCTGGTTGAGAGAGAGAAAGACGTCAACCAATGCCCAATCAACCACATCACCCTTAAGGCAGAGATCAGCAAAGCTTCCTAAGCTTGCATGGAGCAAGATTTTACTTCTAATCCCTGATCTTTCATTTGGGAGACAGATAAGCTTAATGACAGGCAACCTTCAACATTGGGTTTCTGATTTTTCACCTGGAGGCTGATACTGTAATGTTGGATAAATATAATGTTACCCCCAAAAGTATGACAGCTGAGGCCACATCTAATACAGTATGAACGTTATTGCATTAGTTTACAAAATATCAAAAAAAGTAAAAAAAAAAAAAAAAAAAAAAACGTTTAGATGATAAAACAATAGATGTACTGCTCAAAATACATAGACAAAAATATGTTAACAATATTTTGATAGCATTTCAAAAAAAATGTCTTAAGCTAAATATTTAATTCAATATATAAATATTTAATGTAATTCAATATATTGTTAAAACAAAGGCAAAAGAAGCATGTAAAGCAAGATAACAATAATAAAACTAATATTAAACATGAACAAAAATTAAATAAATAAATAACTTATTGTTGGAATGTCATTGCAATGTAATACCAAACGCCATTTATTTTAAAGAAAATATGTTTTTATCAAAATATTTGTTTAAACAAAGTTTGATATATGCTTTAAAAATAAGGTATATGCATATATATAATTAATTATTAAACATCACTGAGAAAAATTACTCAAATTATTTGGTTCGTGTTTTCGTTTTGTTTTGTGTATCTAATGTAGTGACATTTTTAAGCATTACAAAAGCATTTTTAGTGTGGTTATCACACACTAAAATATCAAAATACACACATCCCAGGCCTGAAGACCAGTGCTACATGTTTTCTTAAACACATCACCCTCTTTAACTGCAGGCCGTAGATTTATAAGGGCTCAGCTCCAATTACACCTCAAGAGCCACTGAGCACTCTGAGTGTAAATAGAATTAACTCCAGCATGCTACAGCTCGTATGTCCTAAGGAATCTCCTCCTTTGTCCTCTTTTGTATGATAATTCATGATGTCCACCTCTCTTAGCATTCCAATGAGGACAGTAAGCAAGTGTGTCATCTACGACATCTTTAGCATGGCATTGAAATTAACCACTAAGATGCATTAAATTATTTAAGTCACAGTCTGTGGCTAATCACATTAAACTGCTACAGTTATAGGACATTTCCTGTTGTGAAGGACAAATCTCCTAAACTGAAATACCATTAACGTAATCTTTCAGAAAGTCCCACTCAGCATAGTACACTCAGAATGCAGATTTAGCCAAAACACATTATAGCCACTGTGCCGCAAAACTTCACGGTATCTGTAGTGCACACTTTACATGAATAGGTGTCCCATTACTTCTTTTTTTTGTCATCTGAACTATTATCTAACATTAAATCAACATATCATGGTGTTGTTAAATGCTTGATTCAGGGTTAGACTTTCTATGTGCGATTTTCAATAACTGCACAGATTTGAAGTAAATGGTCAAATGTACAACAATTTCCATTCTCAAATTTCCATTTTTATGTTATGTGAACAGCATTTACTAAACCAGAAAATGCTTTTAATATATAAATTGGCAGAGTAAATTTAAAGTTTTTTTTTTTTTTTACCATATACAGTAAAATGACAACACACTCACTTGAAATGACTCACTGCATAGAAATATTGACCAACATATTGAGTGAGAATTATGCTAAACCCAAATAACTTTCCTACTTAAGTAAGACACAAATACAGTACAATGAAAGGTGGTGTTAAAAGTTGACATGAAACTATTTTTTTGAGCATTTATGAGTCTATGTGATGGGTTACTTTGAAGAATTAAAGCATATGTTGAAGATGAACATTTTTATATCTGAACTCAGATATTGCTTATGTAATATATTATGTCCATGATTGCCAAAGTCTATAATGCCACAATGTCTACCTACACAAATGAATGCAATTCTTATACAGATATTGCATCAAGAACTGTAGGAGGAGCGGCATTGTTTTCCCCACATATACACAAGGTTGGATGACAAGGTCTTGCCTTGAAGAAGCAAAATCAATTTTAGCATATGCTGTGACCGACAAAGTCAACTGATTCTTCACTGCCGGAGAAATAGTTTGGAACAAGAAAACTAAAGCAGCATTCAATCAAAACATCAGCAAATATTGGTACAGATGATTGGATTGGAATAGAGTTTGAAACATGTTGTCTTCACTCCTAAAGAAAGAGCTTAAACTCTCTTTGGCACACTGTAAATACATGATTTCTCAAAGTTGTAAATAAAACAATATATGTATGTTTTACATGAAAATACTATTTCAGTCTTTGGTAACTCTTTAAATTAGCAAACACATATTCACTGCAGAATAAGGCATTAATATGTGCTTTATAAGTACTATTAAACAGGCAATATGCCTGCTAATAAGCAACTAGTTAATAATGAATAGTCTTCCCTATAATCTAAAGTGTTGCCAGTCTTTCAAATTCAAAAAGTCGTGTTTAATTCACTGTAAAAAAATATTTTAGCAATTGAGTTATTTCAACTTATTTTTTTGTGTAGAGATAACTAGATTGTCCAGACAACAAGACATTTTAAGTTTTCTTGTCCTCAACTTATCGAAATAAGTTAGTTAAACTAAAAAAAACCATGCAAAAAGATAACACAAAATAATGAGTTAAGTTTTTTTACAGTATAGGTCAGATGTTCACATAAACTTAAATTGAAAATGAATGCGCTCCACCTTAAAGACTATATTGTAAATTAAAAGTGTTTCAATCATGTTGGCCTTACTTAAAGCTTAGATATGTGACTTTAAAGAAACTTAAAACAGGAGAAAGTTCTTACTTTGGATAATGTTGGATAATGTGCTTCAGTACATCTAACTCACTCTCTTTGCCCTCCACTATGGTATTTCCCAGAAAGGTTGGGATAAACCACACTTTTAATGCATGTAAAAGCCTTCCCACAAAGCACACCATAACCCTCCGGCCAGATATCTCTACACCTAACTTTACCGCAATAAAATGAGAGCTCACATATATGTTTCATTTATCAGCCAGTCATAAATCATATAAAGAGGTACTGGGGCATAACAAACACATCACTCCTAGATATTACAGCCAGTGTGAGAGTGCATATTCCATCTTGGCTTCTGCTCATAATGCAGGTCTTTGAGGGGGTTGTAATCAAAAGTTTCAAAGTTAAAGCGCAGCATTTGTCAGCCGGCACACTGATGTAAAATGTCGACTAGGATTCCGACTGAGGCGAGACAAGATTACCTGTTTGACAGGTAAGACAGATTGGTAAGACACAGGGAGGCTGTATATGGGCTTACCTTTGTGAATGCACTCTAAAGCAGAACCTTATTGTGTGTTGTACTTTCTCCCATTCATAGTAATATGAAATAAATGAATATTAGGAAATAATATGTGTGCAGTCTATCTATATATCTTTAAGTATGTTTCTATGTGGTTGAAGTTTGGTGGTTGAAGAATCACTAACCTAAAGTATGAGCAATAGTATTTAGCCTTAGCAAACACCCTGAATAATTACATTTCACATTGCCTTTGCAAGCGAAACGAGAGCAGTCGTGGAACTGTGAAATCAAGAGAATAAAATACATTATGCATGGCTTTACATCTGAACAACAAGGTTAATGTCATTCTGACCTTACTCTTGTTCCACGTCATTTTCAACATCATGGATCATTTATATATCTGTTTAGCCCGCGAGAAGCCAAAATAACAGTTATAGACGTGCATCTGTAGAGGTGCTCAATGCTTGCTTTTCACCACACTGAAATTATGAAGGAGCCTTTGATGTCTATCAGCTGTCCATGACCTCTCACAGCTCCTCGGACAACACTATTTATTCTCATTGTCCCCAGACAAGCAGGCAACCTCTGAAAGTAGAAACCGGCAGAGTAGAATTATTTTTAGACTGATCTATCACAGCTTACTTTAGTTGCAATGACATCAAATGTGCCCCATATGTTGTTCCAGATGACGCTTCTATAACCAGTTCAAGTGACCCAACATTCATTTAACAAATCATGACATGACAAAAAAAAAAGAAAAAAAAAAAGATATATACTGTATATATATACAGTCGTCAGCATTTGAAGTGGATCAAAACCTTTCATCAGAGATATACATGAATTTTGAACAATACACGTTCTTGTCTTAGGACAACTTTGATTAACTTTTTTTGATCCACTTCAAATGTTGACGGATAATATTAATATGAGTTCACAAAAGTTTCATGTATAACAAAAGAATTAGCAAAATTATGTTATATATATACACTAAAATATACACTTTTTAAGTTTCTTATGTGCAACATGGCTGTATTTATTTGATAAAAAATACAGTAAAAACAATGATATTGTGCAAATATTATTAACATTTAAAATAACTGTTTTCTATTTGAATATATTTATATAAAAAAATATTTATTCATGTTATGCAAAGCAGAATTTTCAGCATCATTACTCCAGTCTTTAATGTCACATGATTCTTTAGAAATCATTTGAATATGCTGATTTGCAGCTCATTTCCACAAAAATAAATCAATATATAATAATAATAATAATAATGAGACAAAGACATGTCGTCGTCTTATTATTATTATTATTTG